TATATATATATCAGTTTCTTTATCCACTCATCTGTCAGTGGACACTTAGGTTGTTTCCACATCTCGGCTGTTGTGAATAGTGCTGCAATAAACACGGGAGTGCAGATATCTTTAAGAGGTGGTGCTTTCATTTCCTTTGGGCATATGCTCAAAAGAGGGTTGGCTGGGTCATATGGTAGTTCTACTTTTAATTTCTTTAGGAACCATCACACTGTTTTTCATAATGGCTACATGTCCACCATACCCCCGCCAATATTTGTTATCTCTTAACTTTTTGATAATAGCTATCCTATTATGGGTGGGAGGTGGTATTTCATTATGGTTTTGATTTTCATTTCCTTGATTAATAATATTGAGTACTTTATCATATACCTTTTGGTGAATATTATATCTTTTTTCGAGAAATTTCTACTTAGGGCCCTTGATAATTTTTTGTCTGGGTTATTTGTTTCTCTACCATTGAGTTGTATGAGATCTTTGTGGACTTTAAATATTAACCCCTTGTCAAGTATATGGTTTGCAAATATTTTTTTTCTCAATCCCAGGTTGCTGTTTCATTTTATTGATTGTTTCCTTTACTGCGCAGAAGCTTTTTAGTTTGATATCATCCCATCATTCATTTTTGTTTTTGTAGCCAGAGCTTTTGGTATGATATTCAAAAATCACTTCCAGCGATGATGTGAGGGAGTTTTTTCCCTGTATTCTCTTCTAGGAGTTTTACAGTTCAGGTCTTATGTTTAGGGCTTTTATCCATTTTGATTTTTGCACATGATGTAAGATAAGAATCCAATTTCAATCTTTTGCATGTGGAAATCCAGGATATTTTAGCACCATTTATGGAAGAGACTACCCTTTTCCCATTGTGTCCTCTTGGTGCCCTTGTGGAATAGTAGTTGACCGTATATATTTGGATTTATTTCTGAGCTCTCTCTGGTAGACTAAGTTTCTTGAGGGAAATGATCATACTTTAGCAAATTTCTTGGTATAGAGTAGATGGTTATAAAGGATTTTGGTGAATCACAGTATGGCCACTTGCCAATGTATCAGAATACAGAAATGCCCTGGATTTTTCTCATCATTCTGACCTGCATTTTGCTTGGAGTAGTGAGAGAGATTCTCCAACTCCATGCTCCACGACCCCTCAGAAGTATGTCCACGTTCCTCCGTTGTCTTGACTGAGAACCTTGGTTTTGATGTCAGGTATGGGTAATCAATAAAATGTGATACTTCCGTAAGTTTCCCTCTTGCCTTTCTTAATTGTCTTCAATATAGTAGTTATTTAAATACTTTGCAAAAGCTTTCCCACCAATAGCCACCCTTCTTTTTCTTCTTTATTAATTTTGCAGGCACGCTAGGATAACTTTAGCATCGTTTAAGTAGAATGCAGAAAGAATGGAGGCACTGCCCTGAAAAAGGAGAAACTGAAGGGAGATTGACAAAGATTTAAAATTACATAGAACTAGTCAGGATCTATAGTTTTATCATCATAAAACTATTTCTTTACTGGTACAATGTCATTTGAAAGAACATTCTTAACCATTATGTGGCCCTCTGCCATTAGTTGTACTGAAAAAGCAATTGTTTAGAATAACAAAAGTATTATGATATCAAAAAGAATTCAATAAAGAAATGTTCCTAATATATTGTTCTTTAAAATTTATTTATTGTGGTAAGAAAACTTAGTGCGAGATCTACCCTGCTAACGAATTTTTAAGTGCAAAATACATTGTTGTTGACTATAGGTACAATGTTGTATAGCAGGTTTTTAGAGCTTATTCATCTTGCTGGACTGAAACTTTATGCCGATTGATTAGCAACTTTCCATTTCCCCCTCCCCTCAGAACCTGGTAATCACCATTCTTCTTTTTTATTCTAGAAATTTGACTATTTTAGATACTTCATATTAAGTGGTATCACGCAGCAACTATCTTTCTGTGACTGGCTAGAGTACATTCTTGTTCTTGTATTTTGAGTTCTATCTTGCATTTATTTCAAATGTCATACTCCAATATAGCAAAACTGAAAGTTAAAGACGTGTTTTTGTTCGTTGCTACTGGTTTGCTCTCACCAGTAAGTCATTCGCATTATGCACTGGTCTCAATTCTGACTGCCTTCCTTAAACAACACTCACTTGAGTAGTACATATTCAGACTAAATATGTACACGTAAATCTTAGCTGAAGGAGTCCGTAATTCGCCCACAGCAATTGGTTTTACCTGCTCTGTTTGGGCGTTCAGGTGTAAAATCATAGACCTCACTGGATGAAACACAGCCTGCGCCCTCACGTGGCACAAGTCCAACTTCAAAATTGAGATCAAGAGGATAAAACATGCTCACGCCCTCCGACGAATAAATGGAATGCATAATTGTTTCATCGACACTAGTTCCTAAACATGCTGAAGCTGAGGAAGCTTCATGAAAGGCCAAATCAGCGTACCACTCGCTATGAATGTGTGTTGTGCTTCAAATGTAAATAGGATACTGCTCTCAGCTTGCTCTGAAGTAGTGCAGCCCTTCGTATGACAATTAAAGCCTTCAAAAGCAGCAAGTCCAGGAGAGGGTCTGGGTAAATCTCTGTCCATTCTGCCCCAGAAATATAACAATTCACCGACATTGAGGTGTGCCACATTTTTCAATTATCTCTCTAGTCCCCCTAAACTTCTTCCCAGTCATAATATTCAATTCCATAAAGAAGATCCTATAAGTGCCTGTTGGACATATTTGCAACAACAGTAAGAAAGTCCTTTTTTCTTTGTGTAAAACTATTGCTCTTTCAGGAATGCTTCATATAATTTTGGTCTAATTAAATATATGCTCTAATCAACTGATCTGGTGTTCAGACTGAAGCACACACACATGACTTCTGAATTAATTTATGAAAATAATTCTCTGTAAGCAAGATCAAGTACTCTTAGAGACTTGCTAAGATTAGTGATGATTTAAAACCCTTAGCCACACTTTTGTCCTCACAAGAGCCCAAAAAGGACTACCCCAGAGTACTTTGAACTAAAGGAGATTGGGAGGGCCACAGGAGCAAGGAGGTCACTCTGATCTTCCCCTGCCTTTCTGTGTGAGGGCTGGCCATAGAGAAATTCTCTGACTTATCTTGCCTGAAATTAGATCATAAGATGCTCATTCCAGAGGGTCCTGACCTGTACCTGGAGGGAAAGAAAAGCTACACAGAGAGGCCAAGAAGAATATGAATAGACAGGCCTTGCTGGGCTCCTCTCTTCAGTCTATTACCATGAGATCATACCCTTTTGTCCAATCACTTTTCCACATGGCTGTTCTTTCTTCACTGAACCTAAGCATAAAAATACACAATTTTCCCGGGGTCTTTAGGTCTTCATTTCTGAAGGCTCCAGTGTTAAGTAAAAGTTTGATAAATAAATGTGCTTTTCTCTCGCTAACCTATCTTTTGTTATAGGAGTGTGGGTCATGATCCTTATGACAGGTGAGAAAAAGTTATTTATCATACCTTTCCAGTCATACACCTCCAATTACATTGTCTTCAATGTCAACTTTAATGCCTTTCTCCTATTCCAGTTCTGGTGATGTAGTATTTAATTAGGAGAAGGAAAATGTTTAATTAAACAACAAAAATAAGGTAATGCTGGTTCACCGTTAAAAATTCATGGATCGTTAAATGAATAATTAAATCTTTTACTCTGCATTCCTCAGTGTCTGTAAGAACCACCCCCCACACACACACCCACAAACACACACATGCTCCCATGCACACATGCACAGAGCTTAGAAAGGTTTATTATGCATGGAGAACATGTATTCTGAATAAAGTAAATATATATTAGCATAATATAAAGTTAGCACACAAAATTACATTAATATCTTGAATGAAAGATGTATTAAATAAAGGACCCTTAATTAAGAGTTCATTAATCCTATTCTCAATCCAGAATTGCATATCTTATATCTTTCTTGATTAATGCATTTAGCTCCTATAAGAATGCAACTGTTCCACTCATTAAATATGTGGTTTAAGAAAACATGAGATTGATTTCTACATGCAAATATTTCTCATGTATAGGGATTAAGATAAATAAAGTGTGACAGTTTTCAGGCAACATTTTTTAATTTTGTCTATTTGTTCATTGAGACCCGAGGGTAGGAGTGGTCAGAGAGAAACATCAGTTATTGTTAGAATGAGAAAATAACCGGAGGCATAATGTACACTCTTTCAATGCACTCCCAGAATCTAAACACTAATTAGATTTCCAAAATACCTATCTGACTAATTGAGATCCATTTTTATGGCAATATTTCTGGTCCTTAATTGAAATTCTCTACAAAATATTAATATATAGTGAAAGAATTAGCCAAACTCCATCTATGATTTGAAAATGTTATGCTTTGAAGGTAAGCACAGAATTTTAGGGTCAAGTTTTTTTCTTTTTTCTATTTTTAGTAGAGATGGGTTCTCACTCTTGCTGAGGTTGGTCTTAAACTCCTGACCCCAAGCAATCCTGTGCCTTGGCCTCCCAGAGTGCTAGGATTACAGGCATGAGCCACCACACCCGGCCAGGGTCAAGTTTCAAATTTTTGTCTGGCCTTGAGTCACTTTTCCAAACACAATGATTTTTTTTTTAATTTCTGGGTGATTCTGAAATATGAATATTACTAAATACTCATTTGAAATGCTGAGTAAAATTAATAGAAAAGAGTGAATTTTTATAGAAGTATCTTTAAAACACAATTGTAATGCAAAATGATGACAATTCTTTGTAAACTTTTATAATTTAAAAATCTGTATGTGATAATTTCAGCTGCAGAAGTACAATCTTTTCCATATTATTGGAAGAAAGACTTAAGACCAAGATTGTGATATATCAGATTTTTGCCTTTTTAAATTTCGAGGAAATGTGATATAATCCATGACCTGTATTAAGTATTAGTGACGCTAATATATATTATATTTAGATATCATGAAAAGTTAACTAGTTCAGTGTTTAAAATTGCAATAACAACACATAAAAACTTACCTTTGTTTTGTATGCTGGTATCTGGAAGTGATTTATAGGAAATTTCACATTCCTGGGATATACTGATGTTATCTAGAGCAACAGTAGCATTCGATGATAAAATAGTAGCTTCTAAAATTACCTATAATTACAGAAAGATAACATTAAATTAAATAATAATTAAAATAAATTAAATTAAATTATAGAAAGATAAAATTAAAACACACCATAAGACTAATATCTTACAATCATATTTCTTTGTGTAGAGGAACTTAATTATATCTGTCCCATCTGCAATCTAATTTTAGAAAATTTTTTTGACCAGAACATTCAAATTCCAAATTTATAAAGTCATAACTGCTTTGGCAGGATCTTATGCAACCTTAATATCTTAGGTAACCTTGTTTCAATTAAAAGTTGTAACATTCATCACTAGTGAAGGGTTCTCTTCCCATTGGAACCATTAAGAGCCATATGCATTTATAATGAGTTCTTTAGGGCAATCAACTGCATGGCTTACAGCTCAATTTAATTGAGATATGAATTCATTTGTAATGCATCAGCTGGAGGCAATGATTCATTTCCATATCAAAATATTTAAATACATATATATATTATGTATATATACACAGAAACATACTTAAGTGGTAAAGCACTCATCAATAACCACATACAATGGTTAATAATATTCATATGCTAAAGCACTCAGAGGCATCTATTTAAGTTTAATTTATTCTAACACTCTGAATAATGACTGATATGTTTTCCTTCTTGTTAATCACTAATATTATGTTGTTATTCCAACACGGAAGGAAGGAAGGAAGGAAGGAAGGAAGGAAGGAAGGAAGGAAGGAAGGAAGAAAGGAAGGATAGAAGGAAGGAAGGAAGGAAGAAATTAAGCCTGCAGTCTTAAGGACCTGTGTAGCAGACCACCAGTCCAGGACACAGGTGGTACATACATCTTGATCTTACCAGGGAGGATCTCTGATCTCAAGGATCTTACAACTTACCGTGTCAGAGCTCAGAACATGCTATCCCCAAATACGGTACGTTAGAGGTCATTTTCTTTCTCCCTCCTTTCTTTGTGAGAGCTGGCCATAAAGGAATTATCTGACTCACCTCTCCTCAAAGTAGGTCATAAACCTTTATGTTACAGGTGTCCTGCCCTACAACCAGAGGAAGGGAATGCTACACAGAGAGGCCAAGAGGAATGTGAACAAACAGGCTTGCTGAGTCCCTGCCAATTTATTACTATTAGATCATACTCTTTTTGTCCAATCATACTTCTATATGACTGTCCATTCTTCACTGAACCTAATCATAAAAATAGACAATTTTCCCTGGGTCTCTGGTTCTTCATTTCTGAATGCTCCCGTGTCACATAAAATTTTGATAAATAAACTTGTCACGATTTTCTGTTGTTAATCTGTCTTTGGTTAATGGAGTGTCAGCCATGATCTTTGTTATAAATGAGGAAAAAGTATTACTTTTCCTGCCGTACACTTGGTATGATACATCAGCAACTAAGTGATAACATATGTGCTGTATAAAAGATAAATATAAAAATACTAGGAGAATCAAAGAGAAACACTTCATTCCTTCTGCCAAGAATGTGGGACTGAGAGTTTGGGAAAAGATTTGGTGGAGAGGTGATATTAAACGTGAGTTATAATTGCTGCTAAAGATTTTACCTCAAGAAACTGAGGTAACAAACCAAGCAAAACCAAACAGATATGAAAGTGCATAATATGTTTAAAAACTGGGGTTGGGTGTTATAGGAGTATAGGATTTTAAGGGACAAAAAAATTAATCAGATAATGGATGGAAAAGATCAATTTGCATGAGCTGTCATAGCCCAACTGGAGAGTAATTAGATGGCATCTGTTAAAAAGCGAAATAGTATAGACTGCAAAAATTACGCCCGTTTCTCAGCGTTTATCCTACAGAGACACTCCTAGAGATGCTCATGAAGATCTGTGCATGAATATAGCCCTCGATGCTGATTTTAATAACAATGACAGGAAACAATTTAAACATGAATCAATCCATAAATAGTGATACAAGCCATGGAATACTGTATCAGTTAAAAATAATATCTCTATGTGTTACTATAAAAAGTCCTTCAACATGTGTTTTTGAGCAAAAAAATAAGTTACAGAAAAGAAATGCATCACATAATATTATTTAGGACAACACACATGGTTTAGATTTCGAGGTGTATGTGGTACATATATACATATTAAATACGAAAATGGACTGGAAGTAAAAAGAAACTAATACCTATAAAGATAAAGACTATAATGGCAGATGATGATGGTCAGAAGGGACCATTGCTTTATTTGAAATTTTGGTATTTTATAATGCAACGCATATAATTTTAATTATTTTAAAAATTCTGATTAAAGCTGCTTTCTGTATAATCTCAGCCAACTAAGAAATTTGGCCTCCATACAAGAGTCAGAAAATAAAAACATAGGTCTTAAAGAAGGATTTTGATGAAATACATGCAAGTATTTTAACTTAAAAATATACATATCATGTTTAATGCCATTAAGTAATTGTAATTTATTTTGAACAGCTTTAAGTTTGAAAGAATTTTCTTTTTATTCGTTATTATTATACCCCTTACACTGAAGTCAATTGAAATAGATACATAATTCTTTAGACTCATTAGAAAAACATTTGTTGACTGCCATTTTAAAGGCCTGTGCTACTCAAAGAAAAAAATGCAGAAAAGACAATCTTTGAGGTACTTTTCTGTGCTCCTAGAGAGGGAAATACTCATATTCTTTGAAAGAAATGGGTGGGCCCTGGGTGGCATGAAGTAGAACCATGACATAGGTCTTTAAAGTGTGTTTACATAATTTTTCCTGAAAGGAATCAGTGGGCTCTTCAAATATTCATATAAAATGTAAAGATAAACACAACTTAAAAAGCCAAATAAAAAAGTATTAGGTCATCTATATCTCTGCTTGCTTACTTCTATATAATTAAATTTAGGACCATTCAATAAAAGATTATAATGCTACCATTAATTCAAGTCATCTACATTTTAAAAGAAAAATGGTTACTTCCTCTGAAGAATGTATGTTATACCTGTAAATAGTGATCATCTCATGATTCCAAAATCATCTTGTCTATTTCTATTTTTTTACTGCTTGTTTTAACCAAGCTGATCTTTTGAGTTGTGATCCAAAGCAGTTCTCTTTGGGAACTACAGTATTAATTAGTAATCAGTAAGTAAGAAAGAGGTCACGTGGAAGAGATGTTTCAACCGTGGATGAAGGGAGACTGAAAACCTCATTAATTATAAGATAGGTAATTTGAAAATTTAAATTTCAAATTAAATGTAGATGGCTTTCCCTTCTAAAACTATTTTTCAGGATCTTGCTAATTTTTATTTTATTCAATTATATTACTCCCTCAAAGAGCAAACTAATTTTTTGCTTTCAGGAATCACAACAATTTGTAAATGTTCACAATCAAGTGATTACCTTTTGTATCTGTAAAACTGAGAGAACCTTTTACAGAAAAATACTCAACTAGCATAGATGTCTTGTTCTATAAAAGACTAACAAGGGCAAAAACAAATAAGAATGTAAGAGAAAATAGGAATATAGTAAGAAGGAAGAGAGAGAAGTTGGAATATGATAATTTTTGAAGAATGATGGTTCTATCAATAATAAAAGCAAACAGCCAACGTTTACTTAGAGCTTAGCATATGTAAGGCACATTCACTCATTTTAATCCTGTGAAGATGGTGCTATCTTCATTCTCATTTTAAATAAAAGAAACAAGTTTCGAGAATAGAAGTTATTGGTTGAAGGTCACATATCTAGTAAGAAAAATATGTAACCTGAGACATTAATGATTGAGCCATACTGCATCACTTTAAAGAAATAAACTGGTCCTTAGCAGATGCTGCAGAACAGGGCTACCTGGAGAAAAAAGATTTCATGCAGCCCTAGATAAAGCAGTCTGAGGACATAGCAGCTTCACAGAGACTAGATTAGCTTTTACTTTTGTATTATAAATCTTACCCTTCACTGAATCTTCAAATAAAGTGAGGAAATTGTTATTGATTTATATCATTGACTCTGATAAAGAGGGAACATGGTATCCATCATTGTGGAAAATTTGACAAAAGGGTCATTTTAAAATGAAATCTAAAATATCATACAATTGGGTTTTAATAGGAAGCCTGAAGAAAGTAGACCAACTTGAAATCAATGGACAGTACTCAGAAAAAGTGCCTTTAGACAGTAAAACTGAGCACAGCAGTTAGAGAAAAAAAGAAATTGTGTATTAAATGAATATCTTTGTATAAAAAGCTGAACATAGCAAATGAGCAGGCCAAGTTAAAGCAGATTGAAAAGGATACTATTAACTATTTGGCCTACATTCTTCTAATAAAACCTACATGGGAAATGGAGGGAATATTGAAACATTGTTAATTTGCTGTTCTTATAGAATAAATAGTAAACCTAATTCTTTGCCAGCAGAAAGAACTAACGTCCTATCTAACTAGGGGGTGCATATTTCCTAAAGAACTCAAAGCAATTCGTATTCTGTTATAATGTCCACAACTGACATCAAAAGGACCACACTAAATCAGAATTTCATGGCTAAACGGGAACATAGAGATCACATAATTCCATGCCTTTCTTCTTTCCAATATTTGGATTGGATTGGATTACACTGTATAAATATGTTTTGAGCTTAGTCACATTGAACTGATGGCCAGACAATAATTAAGGTCACCCTTAAATGATTTAGTCCATTAAACTTGAATTTTAGCCTGTTTCCAAGAAGACAAACTTTAAATATTTGAATATTTAAAAGCCAGATTGACTATTTTATAGGTATCATATCTTTTCCATTTGTTGTTGATAAAAGAATGACGTAGAATTGCACCTAGCTAGAATTCCCATGTATATTTTCATACTTGTAAAAATATACTTAGAGAAATCAAGTTAAAACCAACATATTATTAGCATTTTTTTTCTACAGTGGACAAGAAATGGGATGGAAAGATACACAAAAAGGACAAAAAATCTTCATTTTTGTATGCAAACAAACAATAACATTGTAAGCAAAGTGTTAAAAGTTAATTCTCAGGTGTGAGTACATGGTTATTTGTTTCTTTCTGTACTTACTCCTAGTTTGAAATATTTAATAATAAATATACATCATATTAATGTATTAAGTAACACCATGTATGTATATATGCGTGTGACTGTGTATGTATATATGCATTGTGTGTGTATTTGTATGTATGTATAGAATTTGGACTGATTTCACAACAGAATGTTAATACAAGTCCACAATTCCTTATCTAAAGTCTTTCGGGCCAGATGAGCTATGAAATTTGAATAGTTCAGAGTTGATGTCAATATAACATTGATAATGTTTAATACATGATACCCTCCGGGAGATCTGGGTCGACACTGTATAATCAAATCCATCACTAAACGAATGCCTGAAGACCTCACATTGGTTCAGGTCAGCTTAGGTTTTGCCTCTAAATTCATTTTTCAAAAGTTTATTGCTTTCCAAATTTAATTTTCTAAATTCCTGATTAGACATCGTAGAGCTGGAATGGCCTTGTTTAATGGTGAAATTTGAGGAAATTTTTATTTTTCTTTTTATCCATCTGTAGTTTCCAAAACAAACATGTACTGTAGCCAACTCGTAACAGGACTAAGTGGGGAGGCGCAGAGGAAAACTCTTATCTTCTCCGGGGTAAATTAAACACGCTGAGGCCTGGCAAGAACTCAGCCTTGGGGCTGATTCGTACAAGGCGGATTGCGGAGAGAAGCAGACATATGGTGCCGAGCCCCCAGGAGGGGGAGGGAGAGAGAGGCAGTCCCAGAGCAGGGCTGTGTTAGAAATCCTCTCAGGTCTGTTGCTGCCAAATTACAAAATCTCACCAAACCACTGGCTAATCTATAAACTAGCTAATATGCCGCCAGATGATAAAGGATAGTCTCCATTTGCACTGCTAAGCAAAGCAAAACCAAAACTATATCCAAAAAGATATGTTAAAGAAAAAAATATATATACTATCCTGAAACTCATCAATAACAGTGATCCGTCAATGAGAGATTCCAGTCGCAGAAAGGAAACCCATAACACTTCTCAGATAAGTAATCCTAACAAAGGACATTCTTTTTTTTTCTCAATATGTCAATTAACAATACACTCTGACAGATCTTCTTGGTAAGTTTCATTCCAACTAAAAGTAAACTCAATGAAAACAATTTTATGTTGAACATAAATAGCAGACAAGAGATCGAATCCTCTGATTTGGCTTGTTCTGTTCCACAAACTGGAGAGTGACACTGAAATGACTCCATGACAGGCCTTTATGTCAAATGTTTCCCAATTAAGAGCTATTAGGTTCACGGTGTTGCTGTCCATTTGATATGGGAAAGGAATCACAAACTGATCCTTGAAAAATCAGAGGAATTTGGAGACCTACACTAAGAGAAGAAGCCTTTAATGATTGAGCCTAGAGTTCTGGTCAAGAGGAGATTCCCTTTTAAAATAGAGAAGAAACACTAATAATTATATAAGTGTCTACTACTCCCAGATGAGATATCCAAGTAATAGCCACAGCAATAACAATAGCTAACTTCTGTGTGTTAACTCTATGCCAGATTCTCTTCTACGTACTTTGCATGTACAAACTATTTAATAGTCACGATAATTCCATAAAGTAGAGAACAGTCATAGGAGTTGATGTTTAGTCCCTGCTCCTCCTGCTTCCATGGGAAGGAAGTTCCCTGCAGTAACACTGCTGTTAGTTACATCTTCCTCTTTCCCAGGAGATGAGGGAGATTTAACTGACTGGTGAAGTTAGAATAAGCTGGGCATGTTCAATCACCTTCTTCTTCTCCCATTCAACACCCCCTATTGGGAGCCAGCCTATCCCCAGCAGGTGTGCACTCTGCTGTTATAACTGACTGATGGTAAGAGGCTTCCCCTAGAATGTAAGTCCTATATTTCTCCAGCAGTCAGTTATTCTCTGGGTAAATCTATTTATTCTGAGGTGAAGTATTATTTTAAATACATGACTGTACATTCTTAAGGCATCTGTTCCAAAACATTTATTTGCTGTCATTTAAAGTATATTTTGATCTCAACTGATTCAGAAATGAGGACCAGATGAGGTGTGTTATTTACCAGGGGGCCTTTAATCCCCAAGTATTATCCTCCCCTTTCTATTGACAGAGGAAGAGAAAGAGGTACAGAGGGCTTGAGTGACTTCCCTGTGATTATACACCTGGGCTTGGACCCCAGGCTCCAGAGCCCATGTTCATAGTCACCATGTCAACTATATTCTCTTTAATACTCAGACCTCTGAAATGTTGCTTTTATCATCTCTGGGGGTTTCACTGATTAGGAAATATGAAAATCCAAGACAGTGTTTGCATGGTCACTTAGCAACTGATGAGCAGAGCAGAGATTAGAACTCAGACCAGCAGACTCCACAGGCAGTGTGTTTTCTACTACATTCCATTCAATTTAGTTTCCAAAATTGTTCCATTCAAATGTCATCCAGAAGAGACTCATGTCCAGGATGGTAGAAATTGGGGAACCCATTTGATAAGCTATGGTTGCCTCTTTTATTATTATTGTATTGATACATAGTAGTTGTACATACCTATGGGGTACATGTGATATTTTGATATGTGTATACAATGTGTAATGATCGAATCAGTGAAACTGAGATATTGATCACCTCAAGCATTTATCATTTCTTTGTGTTGGGAACATTCCAAATCTTCTGTGCTAGCTCTTTTGAAATATGCAATAGTTATTAATTATAGTTTCCCTACTGTGCTATTGCCTTCTATCTAACTGCATTTTTGTACACATTAACCAATCTCTCTTCATCACCCCCGCCCACCTCCAACTATGTTTCCCAGCCTCTGGTAACCACCATTCTATGTACTACCTCCATGAGATCAACTTTTTTAGCCCCCACATATAAGTGAGAAAACGAGATACTTGTCTTTCTGCACCTGGCTTGTTTTTACTTATTATCGTGTCCTCCAGTGTCCAAAGGTTGATAAAATCCTCAAGGTTATTGGGAAGCAGAAAATGAGGCAATAAGATTAAAATGTGAGTAGAGCCCATGTCAGAGTTTTTTTTTCCCCCACTACCTCACATAATCCACCATCTTCACTTAGGAAATAAACATTCCTTTTAAATTATTCTTCTCTCTGTCATCTTATTCAATTTTTATCTCCACTTTTGCTACTCTCAAATCTTGAGCACTTAGTCAAAATAACCTCTCTATTCACCTCTGATTATGTGTTTGGTCTCTGTTCACTCTAGTAATGTTGAATAAATACATGGGGCACGTGTGTTATTTTATGGTCTGAGAGGATTTGCATTAAATAAATGTTCTTCTGATGAGTTGTATTAATTCCTAACGTACTCACCTGGAAAGGCAGAGTAGATTCTCCGACTTTTGCATGGAGATCGATTTGGACTTGGCTCCACTGAGAATCAGAGAATCCTATTATTTCGCCTTGCTTTTCCAAGTTCCCATTGAGTGATGTTCTTGTAAAAACTGAGAGATGTGAGTGCTGAGACAAACAATACGAAAACTGTACCTGTTGAAAAAAATATTTTGAATGATATAAATCTTCTAGTTATCTGTCTGTAGTAGCTTTTTTGTAACTTAAAATATATCAAACTACTTTGGTATTCAATATAATCTTCCTTATTTTCCTTTCCTCTAAATGTGCAACCCCAGAAAATGCTAAGGCCTTCCTTTGCCACACTTTATATTTTACCCTTAAGAAAAGTTTCAAGGCAGCTACAAAAACTGTTATTTTTAACACATACTGAAGAGCTATCTATAGAAATAGGACACTAACATGCTGCTGAGACAAGTTCGAGGACGTGTGTTTGTCCACATAGTCATGAGCAGTACTCAGCTTCCACCGAAGTTCCCTGGGATCTTTCTCTCTGGCTTCTTATAAATCTGAGAGGTAAATGTTATGACTCAAAGTTACAAAATCATTATTATTATACCTTCTTGATATTTCAAACACCAAACCAAGAAAAAATTTCCTTGGAAAACGGCTTTCTGAAGTAAAGAGAAAAAACAAAAAACTATACTTAATACTTTTCATTAATTTCTTTTCTGTTGTGGCATTATCAAAAGGCCCATGGATACTGTTCATTAATAATTTAAGCCAAGTAAGAGAACATTCTTCATGAGGCTACGGGAGCCTTGATCATTTTGCTTTACTCACTATCAGTGATGACACAATATAAAGGTTTGATGGCTTAACTACATAGTAAAGAAAATACAGAAAGAGGATTATTTTAGGTGCTGATAACGGTAGCTCTGACATGGACTTCAGTGCTGTCATTGATTCAACCAATATTTACTGCACACTTACTAAGTACCTGGCACTGTATGAGGCAAAAATTAATTTCCTCAATGGTTGGATGATCCACTCTATAAAATACATCAACATAACCTCTATAAAGACAAGTTCAGATACACTGCAGTCAAAATTTCTTCTTCTTCTTTTCTTTACCACCAACATTCAAAGATGAGGCTTCTCAGAAACGGCATCTCTCCTTTTGAATTCAAAGAGACCCATTTCAGGTTCACTATATTTCAAATTCTTGATTGTTGTTTTTCTTTTTTGTCATTGTGCATTTATCCTGCTATGTGGACATGTATTAGGACATAAATAGGCAACCCATTTATTTCACTGTTGGGACCAATTTCAGTGATGAGAGTTGACCAAAAAATGCTTTAAATGCTCTTTAAAAAAAATTGTTCAATTCAAAACATTAAGCATTCTATGTTCCAATTTGGCACACTTTTTTTTCAATGTCTACTTATTTGCTACCACTTGATCAAAAAATCTTTCTGATGGTCTATTTCATTTTTAGATTTTATTATCATGCTCACCTAAATTCATATCCTGACAGGCAAGTCAGAAATTTAAAAGATGGAAGTGTTTAATTAAATTCCATGGAAAGAGAGGATTCATGTTTCTTAACTGCAATTAAATTTTAGATCCCTGCTGTAAGTTTCATTATGCCCTAACTCGCAAATATGCAAAGCAGAGCTTTGCACCTAGTTGTACAAGAGATGTGTGTGCCCCATCAGAATTTGAAGCTGTCAAACTGTCACTCAGTACATCACCAGTGTGAAGTTACTTTAATAGCGTATTAAGCATAAATGCCAATGGGATCCACATAAATGGGATAAGAGCTCAGAATTTATATTTAATTTACTCTTTTTGACAGAATTTGCATTGTGGAGACTTAAATTCTTTAGTTATTAGAGACCGAGAAACCTCCCATAGTCTTTTCAAATTGAGTATTGTTAAGGGCGAAATCAGTGAATCAAAGTGATTGATGCAGCTGTGATTCAGACAAGCAGTCATCAGTATGCAAACCCGGTGGCCCTCCACTTGGTACACGCCAGTAGCAGAACACTAAGCCATAAACTCAAAATCACAGAATGCGTTGCAAATTACTCACAGAACCTATTACCGCAAATTGGATCTACTGGATGTTCAGTTAATATGTATTGTAAAAAGAAGAAAGGAATGAGTGGACTGTTAGTATCAGTGCTTAAGTAAATGTCTGTAAACATTCAGAGACAGAGAGAGTGGGGGAGGGAGAAGAGAGGAGAAAAAGATGGAAAGAGAGACTCTGCTCTATGTCAAAAATTGTACAAGGCATTAGGTGTCCTTAAGGATTTTAGAGTCTTTGGGTGGAAGAGTGGAATAAAGAAAAGGAACCCTTAAGTATAATGTGTATGATGACAAAAAGTATGAAAATAGTGTAGCTCTTTAAATTGAAATTAACAAAAATTAAACAAAATGAAAAATTCAATTTCTTAGTTATATTCATCACACTTTAAATGCTCAGTAGCTACATGTAGCTAGTGGCTACTCTACTGAACAGAATGGGAAATTTACCATCATCACAGAATGCTGTATTAAACAGCTACAAAGCATGTAAGTTAAAATTACACCAAGCATTCAACATTTACTTACTACTTACAATTTTAAAGGAAATCATTTTCTTGATTCATGCTTTATTCATTAAAAGGCAGTTAAACAAAATGTTAATATAGAGGACTTGATTTTATTTCTCTTGGGTTTTCACTTAGGCACATGTTATATATAGTATGATTACTCAAGACTCTGAATCATTGTACTGAGGAGAACTTCATGTGATTAAAAAAATCTTCCAACAAAGCTGCTTTTTTAATTGGAAAATTTGAGAGAAAAATTGAATCTCAAATTATTTCATACTTTTTAATTGTATTCCCCAATTTTAAATTATTTACATTTTAAAAAATATGTATTGAATCATTCATTTTATTCCAAAAGGAAAAGATATCTTATCAGGTGACTTATATCAGTTACTGAACACGGGTAAGTACTGAGGATGGACAGGGTGAGATAATCTTAGTGCCATTTGCTCCTTGGTAGCTGCAGTCCCTCTAGGGTGTTACACAGAGTACTGGCCCCTCCTACGAAGGAATAATGAGGCTCTCTAATATATCATTCTGTTAAGGACACTCCAGGTCATTATTTATAAGTTTAAAATGAATTCTTCCTTGTTTCTGTTTTCTTTTTCATTTGATTTTGATCTAGCTTCAGCTGAAACTCTCCTGTGCAAATTTTCTGCTTCTTTCCTGAACTTTCCTATGGTCTTTGTTCCAAATCCTTCCCTATCTCAGAGCTCCTTGGTCAGATCTCCATGTCCTTTCTCAGTTGTATTCCAGACCCTTAGCTATAGTACCTCTGCCTTCTCTGCTTCATTCACACTGGACTCTTTATGTCTTCCTCAGTCTAGTTTTTGCTATACTTTCTACGTATTTTCAAAATCTAGAACAACAAGATATAGAATAAGAGGAACAACAAAAAAAAGTTTTAGAAAAGGGAAATAAACAGAAAAAACAAGTTAAGATATCTGTATTCTTCAAAATTCAGCTGGGGATTCATCTTACAAACACACACACACACACAGACACACACACACACACACACACACACACACACATACATATACCCCTCACCATTACCATGGTGATTTTATAGCTCCTAGTCATAATTATGCCTCTTCCTGGGTATTCAGAGTATTGAGAACCATGATCATGACAGAGTAGGTAAGCAACATATGTGTGTTAAATCACGGATAGAATGTTTACATTGATCTCATTGTGAACACTCAGGAGAGAAGACTCTGAAGAACTATTTTGGATTTTGTTTATTTCTTTTTACTTCCTTGAATCCAAACCAAATGTGTCCCTCTCTGAATTGGCTTCTGGAAAACAGGCTCAAATGTGTAGCCTAACCCTAATAAACTTTACTTTTGGGAACCAACCCATCTCTTGCTTCATCTATCTTTGTCCTGATAGTCTCATTTATACTTTTTTTTAAAAAATCAATGAATTGGTTTTTTATTGAAGGAATATTACAATAATTGCAAAACAAGTTGGAAAATTACAAGTGAAAGAAAAATAGATGAACATAAAAGCTAATATTAAAAGCAAAAGCTTCATATTATTAATCTTCCTGTATTTAACTGCAAACCCTTAAAAGTAAGGTACTGTGTTGTTTATACAGTAACTCAAATTTGATAACTCAGAAAACATTAGTACCCACATTAATTCCTCTCATATTTTATATTTCCTAGTTAATTGTAAACAGTAACTGCATTTTAACACCAATAACAAATAGTAGCTTCTGGCTTCCCCACATTTTGTTTGTCCTAAGGAAAAATGCCAAGTTTCCATCAGTGGCTGAAGGAACTTTTGAAGCTTAAATAAAAGTCCAAAACTTGAACAATGATTAGTTGCAGGAATAATTGTGCATGTGGATGCCATGTGTTGACTATACATAAAGCACAAGGTAATCAATGAGAAATGACCCTAAAATTCTGCTGTTAGAAAAGGCAGCTCAGACGAAAGCTCATATTCCTTTAAAGTCCTTTCAAAAAAATTCTTAAGTGTATTATCCTGATATGACTATGTAGGAAAAAATCATATAATTTCAAAAAATGAAGGCTTTAATTATGTCAAAGTGCCCAACTTTGGCTATCTCACTGCCCCACTTTACCATTTTATAATAAAGAACATTCGTTCCAGGAAAACAACTATAAGCTGTATGTTTCCATTCCGAGGATCAGCTGGATTTTCCAATTATCCAATAAGGTAAGAATTTGGCTTGTTTGCTTATTCTGTAACTTTTATGAAAGAAAGTATCACATGCCAACCACAAACTTATAAAAAGTTCATGTTATACTCTTAGAAAAGAGAACATCAGCTATGTGTATCTCAGACTGTAAATAACCTTCTCCTACCATCCACTACGACTTCCGAAACTGGAAAGTGTTATAAAGTAATCCAAATATTTCTCCCTCCAACTCAAAGATTATTAAAGTTCAAGCAGATAGAGACAAAAGTGAAAAACAGATACCTCTTCTGGCAGTCTTTATTGGCTCCTTGAAGCATTTTCAGTTTCCCCCAAAACAAGGCAAACCATTAAGCCAGTATCTGCAGCCTTTGGAGACTGAAGTCTCGGTTCTGAGATAAACTGTCAAGCACCTAAACCGTCCATAACAGCATTTTCACTGAGGCTCCACCTAAATAAACCCCCACAGCTAAACTATAAATTTAAGGAAGAGCAAAGAAAGGTGTCCTCAAGTGGAAACAATGATAAATTGAAACTCAGTCCCAATCACCACAAATTAATGGCTACCAGGAAGCGCACAATGATAGGAAATGTAGATAACTTTTAAAAAGAAAATAAATATATATATATGTATATTTATATACACATATATACATGATTTCTCGGTGACTCTCAGTGAGTCATAGGAATTTCTGATAAGCTCTTAACGTTTGTTTTCAAATTTCTGTGAAGTGGGCAGTATTAACACATTTTATTCCTTTGTATCTAATTTCTTTTTTGTATGACAGTAGTGATCTCATCACATCAGTGTGTGACTTTGAATTAAAGCTAAGTTAGCTTGTACTTTATTTATTTTTTTAGCTTGCACTTTTAAAAAGCAAGTAAGTTCTTCTGGAGTTCTCAAAAAAAAAAAACCAATTATATCTACCTATTATATCTACCTTTCTCTCTTTCTATCACACAGGATTTAATTAAAATAAAAGAAGGGTTGGAACAGATACAGGGCTTTTCGATGAGATGGAAGGGGAGAATAGGACGTTGTTTTAATCCTTATACCCACAAATAAATGGGAAGGAAAACAAAGGAAAGGGGAAAAAAAGAAGAAAAAAAAAGGGACAATCTATCAGGAGCTCTGGACACTTCTGTTCAGACTTCTATGAAGCTGAACATATAATTAGGTTCATACCTCTGAATGCTATGTAATTTATCATCAGGAATGCCCAAGTAAACTGCTGTGAGCCTACATTTACAGGCAATGAATTTAGTGTGTGGCAGTATTGATCTCTTCATTATTTTCTGATAAGTAAAGATAAAAAAAAATGAGCTGAAATCCTGAAGGCTTGGAGGCATGTCGGAACTCTCAAAAGAATTGAAAACAAGGCAGCCTGAACAGAAACATCTGAGTTAGATGTTAGTTTTATGGAAAGTAAAGGAATTATGTTTACTGAATACCTACTATGTACCACATATTTCACCAGATGCTTTATTTAATCACATTTAAATCCTCACAATTGTGTGAAACAGGCATTAGATCTTAAAGGGAATATACAATTGGTCTGCACCACAATTAGTAAGTGGCACGACTCAGATTTGAGCCAGTGTTGACTCCAAAGTCCTCCTACTTTCTTCTCTAATGCACTGTTGGAATGGAATGGGTACTTTACTGCTTGGTCTGTGTTTACTGGGCACCAGAGAACTCACTGAAAAAATATAATTTCAGTAAACATGGTTATTTTTTCTGCATATATTTATCTCTACTCATCCTTTTTCATCTTTCTTCCAACAAGCACTTATTTAACTGATTTTATTTTACTCAATTAATGTGGTCGGCCAAAACAATAAGTAATTTTGGCAACGTGTATCTACAGCTTTAGGTTATTGAAAGAACTATGTGAAAAGAATATAAAATAACAGAAAGTTTTCTTAACAGCTCCCAAAAAGAATGGTGCAGGTTACATGTTACAGATGCTCTTCTGGAAGGACATGGCATTACGTGTTGAAATAGCTCATATAAATTTCTTAATTCATCATTAAAATGATAGTAAAACATGGCAGGCATTTTACTAGCAGAGTAATCCAAGTCCAATGATTTACAACCACAGAATGGTCAATGAAAATGCAGAACAGTTGATTACCTGACATGGGGTAGAGGCAGTGAGCAGTTTTGTAAGGATAGGGCTTCCCAGCTTGGCCACTCCAGGGAATTCATGTGCCTCAACATAAATGAATGATCCTAAAAAACAAAAAAAGCCACGTTATATGGATGTAAGTTCTGTTGCACATTTAGCAGTTCTTTGCTCTGACACCTTATCCTTTCACACATTCAACAGTTGATCAGATTGAAAAAAATGACATTTTTATTTATTTACCATTAAGGTCTAAAAAGCATTTTCATATGTATAAGGTTAAATATCTAAAATAAAATTCAATCCGTTAAAAACAAGCTCTTGATCCAAATCACCTAAGCAAACATTTTTATTGGCTTCACTCAGGTCCTAGAGTTTGAAGTCAAATTGAAGGAAGCTTCTAAGCTTACAATTAGATATTCAACACGCCCTTATAAAATTCCCATGGGAGCTTTGTTTTTCAGTTTCTTTCACAAAGTACTGAAGGATATGAGCCTATGGAATGAGTTTGGTTTCTCCTGGGGCTTACATGTTTGACATTGTTGTCTGTGCTAGAGGGGATGGAAGCTTAATTAAAGATCTAATCTGAACATTAACAAAATAACCGCTTTTAGAGTTTTAACTACAGTAGATGTACCCATGGCAAATGTACAGGGGGATAACATCTCTTAGCAGCTTAAAAGATCACACATTCTGAGCTGCTGTCAGGGGTAGCTTCATTGCATATTGAAAACTTACAAGGAAGGCTATGCCAAACAATGTCAAGGTCTGATGCTGCCCTTTGATAATCATGAAGTGATGGGCAACTTGGAAAGCCAACTATTTTCACTGGAAAATACCACATTCCAAGAGTGATTTTCCTAGATACAGATCAATGCTGACTGTGCAGAAAGGAAAGGATTTCAGAATTAAAATGTATTATTTTATAGACTCAGCCACGTGTTTAATCAAACAACCAGGTTTGCACGTCAGTGGTGTCATCTCTGAGTGAAGAAAAAAAAATCCAGTTTATATTGGCTTTCAATCTCAAAGCCAACTGGGAAGGACAAAGGTTATCGTTCCCAAATTTCAAACTAAAATAATGGAAAACAGTATATGCAAGTTCCTTATATTCTTCATGTTTCACCTATTTTATAATTGAGTAGGAAAAGATGATTTTGAAAAAATTATTCCACTTTAAAAACCCTCAGATTCTTACTCCAATTTCCAATGGCTGTAATTAAAAACACGGTCAACACTTATTTTTGACATAGGCTGCAAGGAGAAACATATAGGATAATGTTCAATGAGCATAAAAGAGGATCAACAGTACAGTTGTGTTATTATAAAGTTAATGTGATACTAACGTTTATGAGCAATATCTGATGCCATATAAATATAAACAAAACAAAAGAAAAAAGAGAAAAAATCTTTTCTGTTTTTCGTGGAGTTTCATAAACCCTTATTAAAATGCTATGTGCAGTTGTGGCTGCTCTATTTTGAGAAGATATGTAAACATGATGGTGGTTAAAAATATATATGTGGAAGAAGTAAGATTATTTGTTATAAAGAAGCCTGAAGAATGATTAAATTGCATTGAAGTATTTGTAGATTTATTTTATAGATAGTACTAAATCTCTGTTCGCAGTTCCCAGAAAGATTAGACTATTTTTCTTTCTGTTTTGCAAAAAAATTGGATTGCTTTAAAAAGAAGGCAAGCCTACTGTACCTGATTCCTGGCAACTAGAGAGAATTACCAGAAAACTTTCCCTGCTCTTAATGGCTTCAACCCAACCTTTTAAAAAAACGCAACAACAAAAAATGTAAAGCAATGCTTCTTTCCGGAAACTCAATTAGCCACTAATTATTAAGTTCGTCAGGAGGTTTTAAAGAAAGACAAGCCACAGTTTCATTTACATAGTCTACAGAGGGAAATGAAAATACACAGTATCATCACTTCACAACATGAAAGAAAGACAACTAATTTTTTTTTAAAGAGGAAAATGTCCTACCATGATTTATGTTTGCTATGTGATCAGCTTTGGGAAAGGAGTACTCTGTGTTGTTCAATCTCCTCACCATCTCCCAGTGTGAATCTTCTGTGAGAAATGGCTCCCAGCCACAGAGACCAGACTCAAAGTCACACGTGAGATGATTTGCTGTTGCACATGGAAAAGAAAACCAGTGAGGAGAAGTGAAATAAGAATGCACAGTGAATCATTGACTATATGTTAGCCAATCAACTGAGGTCAGCGTAATCATTCTGCTTGTAGTGAATGTTTTCTACCACAATAGCTTTCCTTTTCCCAGCCTCACACAATTCCCCGTGTGCTGTGTGAGACGTGGCCCTTCTACACGCTTCTATCTGGAAGTCTGGCACATGTCATCCTAGTTGGCCATCTCCATTGTATTTAACGAGGCAAAGTAGAACTCTGGAGTTTTTCAGGGAGCAACTAATTTGCCTGCCCAGTATAAATCCGCTGAGATAGTAGTTTTGAAAAAATACATTTGAAAGCAGGAAATTTAAATTAATTCTGGACACCTGAAGAACTTGAGGTCAGTGTCTCAGTATTCATGTCATGATTCTATTTTAACAGTTTCTCCAAAGAAAATGCCTAGCCATTTTGGAATTGCAGGTAAATTAGATATTCTGAACTGATCTTTTCTTCTAACTAGAAAGTTGGCAAATACTTAAGTTCCTACACTTATCATAGAATCAGTTCTAGAAAAAGTCAGGGTTGGGGTATGCTTCACAAGCATCTCTCCCAGCTTTGACACCAAATTCGTGAGAAAAAAAAATAACAGGTTTCAGAGGACAGGACAGTAAACTAGAAAATCACTTCTAACAACTTGATTTGTGCTTTCGAGAAATTAGTTTTTATGTGCTTAAAAATTTCCTTTTCTAAAACAAGAATTATTGTATCAGACTATCTTAGATAGTAGTTTTGAGGATAAATGAACACAGTTAATTTAAAAACTTATTTCCAATTATTCCTCTTTTATGCTGAGGCATTTTTATAACATTGCGTGAGGGAAGGGCAATAAATTTTTTTTGTCCGAAAGCATCCAAAGTTTCATAAGCTCCCTAAGATCCTAATGCTCTCATCATCTTTAGTAACAATACATGTTTCCACTGAGTTCCAAGTATGTGCCAGGTATTTTACACATATTAATCTTTGTTCTCACAAATACCCTACATGGTAAATATAATAGTCTCCAAAGAAAAATGAAACTTAGAATACTAAGCAATTTCCCTGTGGTAAATTTTAGTAAATGGACCATCTAGACTTTGAACCTAGGACTATTTGACACCAAATCTTGTACTATGAAGCCTCTCTAAAGTTGGAACTTTGTCTCATAATTAAAAAGAACCCATCATTATGTGCTTGCTTCTAATCATTATTCTCCTCTTTAAATTTAAATGGCATGACCAATTTGACTGGCATATTGAATAAATAAGCTCACTATATCTTAATAATGAAAGGATCTTCAAATATCTGTAAACAGGGATGCCTGGTTTCATGACCAGATATTTCATCATTAACATGTCAACTCTTAAAACATTTAAGTGTAATGTGCAAATGACAATGCCACTTAAATTTTCTCTGAGTGTAAATTGAATGTTTAGATCTCAAAGCCATGCTTGTTATCATAAAATGCATAAACAGCGGTCCCTCTGTATCTGTGGGTTGCGCATCCACGGATTCAACCAGCCACATTTCGAAAATCCAGAATTGGCTGGATACTGAACGCCCCATTCCGAGGACCCAATTTTCGTATTCGTAGGTTCCCCAGCACCGACTGGGAAGCCTGTCAGATTTTGGTACACCATTTCTTCTGTTACAAGCAAATATTATTTTCTCCTCTAAATGGATTTTCCCAAAAACAAAAACAAGTAAATCTACCAAAGTATAATAATAAAAAGATATTGCACATTACCTAATGGGCACCAAAATCACAAGGAAGTGGAGTTCATCCATATACCTAACTGGAAATCTATTGCTCCTAGCTATGTTGTTTACCCCCCCCCCACCTTTACTCTGCTCTGAATATGTTTTTTTTTTCTTAGCTCTGGCTACACAGTTTATAGGATATGGCTATTGATAAAAAATTACCCCCCAAAGGAGAGTCTCTTCTGTTTTTTGACACAGTCTTAAGCACTTGTAACCTCGCTGTGACTATCTCCTTGAGCACTCGAGGACCCTCTGCTCTAGTTCCTTGGTCCTCTGAGAGCTCATCCACCTTCTAGGCAACCTCCTAGCTTTTCTAAGTCAGTTAATGGATCGTAAAAATATTCAAGACTCAGAGTACATACGTGGCCTCTAAAATGTGCTTAAAAGTTCCAAATTCTTGGCTGTGGAGTTGGCCAAGGAATCCACACACTTACTGGCAAGAGTACCCCAATTCCTAGAGAGATGCTTCCCTGGAATAGAAAACCTCCCATGGGTAGAATGACCCCTCATCTGGCCTGGCTCAGGGCTGTCCCAGAGTATGCCTGTTGTCCTAGCATAATAATTAATAACTCTTCTTTTCCCTCTCACTGTCCCTGTTTGGGTAATAAATTCAATATTGCAGTGTTGGAGCAGTAAATTATACATTGCTACACAAATGAAGCACGTCCACACAAACAACAATCTTCTTCACTGCAGATGGCCACGGAAGGCACCATTCTAATTCCCCAACAAGACAATGGTGTGAAATGGCTATAAGACCAACGAGTATGAAAGTGGGAAGTACCACATGACCAATCCATCACCAAACCCTTAGACTCTTCACAAGTGAGCCTGTGTCACTCAACTGCAAAGATGTAAATGAAGATTTCAAGATAAAAACAACTTTGGATTCTACTAATATAAATGTTGAAATTTAGATTTATCACAATAGTTCAAACCATTTCTTTCATTAGCTAGATATTTTACCAATTAAAATGTCAATCACTGTGCTTTCCATACATAGAACACTAAGCACCACTCTTCTTTGAAAAATGAAAGTTAATTTTTGAAATCGACCACCACAAAAATATGTGAAAGCAATGTGGTCCAATCAGCTCTGTAAAAATCTTGGTGAATTGCTCAGCTGTTTTTACCGATGACATTTGCTCCCATAAACGTAAAAAGATTTTTTTTTAAAGCGAAATATTCTAGAGCTTAACTGCACTATAAATAAGTCAAATTCCAGTTGCCTAAGCTGCGGTCCTTCCATTAATATCTCCCCTACATAATTCAAAAAATGTAATGTGAAGTTATAAATATTTGAAGAATGTCAAGAGTCAAATGTATTCTGGCAACTATCATACCTTATCATACTAGATGTGTTAGATGCTAAATATTTTTAAAATCTGAAAAAAATCATCTATTTATGTTATAAATAAAGTATATTCATTATAAACAGTGATTTCGATTACTTGGTTGCTTTTATTTTAACTTTATGTGATTATAGAATACACTTTACCATCTCTAAGCAAAGTATAAGATATGACACCGTTCACAATTTTAGATAAATTTCACTCAGAATTCATCAGTGATAGTAATATTTTCAGATGATGATAAAGCTTTCTCTTGCATAATTAACTACTGCAGAATAAGGGGAGAAGAAAAAAAATTTCATTGTGACAGCTGAGAAAAATTCTGGATCATGAAAAGTAAAATATTTTGTGAATCTTCCAGAAGTGAATCGGTTTTCTATGATATAAGGAAAAAGCTATGTATGAGAAGTGAATAGGGAATATTTTATATGATGAGCAAATATTAGATTTCAATATGATTATATTATAAACATTCTGTTAATATATATATTGAGAACCCACAAGGATCATTGCTACACTAAACATATATATTAGTATTTCCCTTTCCCCTCAGAAAGTGTTTTAGTATTCGATAATTTTTTTAAATATGAAAGACCTCTAGAGACTGTATCACAGTAAAAATTAAATGCATTGCACAGGATCCTTGGTTTAAACTTCTTTCACTTGACTATTACACCAACTTCCCCTTTGAAGATTCACAATTCATATTAGCATTTTAAGTGATCTAAAAAGTCCTACAATTTAAAAACCCTTTTATCCATGGACTTTCCCAAACTATTTTGATGCAAACACAGACGTGTCCATCCTTCGACCTTTTTTGGAACACAATGGGAAAAAATACATATATA